AGTCTCCCTTCTGCCCCAACCTTGGAAAGGAAGAACAGACAGAGCTTCCTATCAGCCACCAGCTACAATGTCACAACAGTCATCCACCAAGCTTTCCTAAAGTTGTCAAGATTAGGGATCCCCTTCAGGGCCCAGTTCTCCAAGACCAGCCACAAAAAGCAAGTCTCAGAGGCACAACATTCCTTTTGACTCATCTTCCCCTAAAATTATAACTCTGAAAGAGTTATAAAGTCCAGGGGCAAGGATTGCTGAACCACTGAGAACCAGAAGAATCCAAACTGAATGCTGGCTGCCTCTTTTTCCAATCTTCCAAATCTCTCTGTCAGAGAAAATGCCAGATGCAGTCACCTTTTGCTAAAGAAAGGTGTATTTCAGCTGGCTGGTGAATATGCATCTACCACACACAACACACAGTAAACCCTGCAGCTACTGGGAACAACCAACCAGCTCTCCCCCAGAAACTCACCCCCTTACCAAGCAGTGCACAGTGACTGCTTTCCTTCCAGACTTTCCCTCACCTCTGGGAGAAATGAAGCAAGAAGGGGCAGGCAGCTCCTCCACCCCCAGAGGCCACAACTCACTTTACAAATTTCAATCGGTACATTTCATGCAGACTTGGCCTAATCCCCCCCAAAACAAACAAGCACCACAGTGAGCAAAGCTACACAAGATTATATTGTATATTTAATAACAAGCTAGGCCAAGTTTCTACACCTATACCACTCATATATTTCCCTGATGACAGAAACAAGAGAGAAGGGATTAAAACCCAAGTGTCCTGGGAAGCCTTCCTGACCACACTCACTCACAGGATAGTAGATGCTGTTCAGAGATGGGAAGGATTCTGCTGAGTATCGCCTTCTGGAGGGCAATAAATATGGTATCTGCAGAGGAAGGAAGAACCTCCTTGGGAGACAGGGCAAGTGAGTCACAGATCCATTTCACTACCAGGGTCCCCAGATCAGACTTAAAGAGGCCCCGCACAGTGAAGTTCCATGGTGTTCGCCCTCCAGGAACAGGCAGACATTCACAGCTACCCAAGAGAGCCCACACCTTGAAGACACTAGGCCTTCTCCACCAGGCTCTAGCTCAGCTCTGGACTCCAGAAGAGAGAATGTTCCCTGGGCCCTCAGGAGCCCTTTGAGTGGCCCCGTTACTGCCAAGATGCTGGCAGATAAAGGCACAGCAATGACCCCAGCCGGATTCAGACCCTCCCTCCGCACCCCACAACACGGCAACAGGCTGGCCTGAGCACAAACCACTGCCCCTGTCTGCACGTGCCCCACACCCATCCCCCAGGCACCTCGCTTCCTCCCTCTGCCACCAAGAGAACGGCAGGTCTCTTTCCCCTTAACCAGCCTGGCTTTAATCACTCCCTGTCAGCTGGAAACTGTGACAGCCCATCCCTACCACAGAAAAAGATCCTCAAAGAAGCTTCCACAAAGAACATGTATGTATGTTGTGAATCTTAAAAATAGAATTATTTTCTATTAGGACAAGAAAATGATAGAGAAAAACCTCCTTTCCTGTCACCTCTCTGTGGAACATACTCTTCTTCTTTTGTGTTTTTGAGTATCTAAACACAACTCTAAGCACATACTGGTATTCAACTCCCATGATGATTCAGAATCAAGAACTCAAGGTCACAGAAAGAAGGGAAGGTGCTGTTCAGAGACACAGAACAGAAACCTGCTTTCCCCCAGCCATGAACACCTCAAATAAAGTCCAGAGCTTGAGGTTTTTGTGTCTCAAACACCAAGTATCTAAGCGCACACATAAGAAAAGTGGCTCCCCTGGTGGCCCACAGGTTAAATCTCAGTGCTATCACCACCATGGCCTGAGCTCCACCCCTGCCCAGGGAGCTGACCACAGCAGACTTCTCCTGTCTTGCCTGCTGCTCCCCTCAGCAGTGTATTTTAGTAAAATCTCCCTGTTCTGCTCCCCACTGTGTCTCTGATGAATGCTCTCATGACCTGTACCCCTGGCCTATACCCCAGTTCTTTTACACAAAATAAATATGCAAACATTTTTTTAAAAAGAAAAGCCCTAGCACCAAAGAGAAATATGATAAAACATTCTGACAAAGTATTTTAAATAGGAGAAAGAGGTAAATTAGAAAAAAAGAGATGTGCTAGGTCTAAACTGTTCCACCTAGCTACATGAGGGAGGGCGAGGGAAGGAAGTGGGAAACTGTCAGGTAAACCAGGAGTCCCTGCCCTAGAGGACAGCCCTGCCCAGCTCACCACATACTCTTCGCAAGAAGTTCATGGTCACTTCACATTGCACCAAACAACCCTACTCAGCAGGGGAGGTGGCAGGAGGAGGAACAGAAGACAGCCATCGGGGACAAGCATGTCACAAGGGGAAAAGAAGAGAAAGAGTCCTGCTGTACCCCCACGTCACAAAGCCTACAGAAGAACAGTTAACTCCGTAAGGCTTAGGGGAATCCCTCAGGAAAGGGTGGCCACATGAGCGCATCTAAACCATTAAAGGAAACGCTACACCAGACAGGAGAGATTCTGATTGACAGAACATTATAATCCTTTTAGCTTTCTTGGCACAGTATTTGCATAGTTATTATTTGGATCATAATAATATAAAAGGGAACCTGTAAATACTAATAAATGTATCATACTAGTAATATAAAGAATATGTAAATACTAATTAATGAGGAAACTGAGGCTCTGAGAAGGAAATGAGTCCCCTGAGACGACCCTACTGGTTAGTGGTAAAGCCGAAGTCCAGTCTTCCAGAACTGATCCCGAGGTTGGGAGACAATATTTCCCAAATTGTGAAAAACTGATGTTTATTGAAAGGTTCAAAATCATGGACATGAGAGGAGAAGTGGGCCTAACAGTAAGATGATGAGATACCTAACTCTGCATATTCTTTGGGTGAGAAGTACCATTAAGACAGCCATCGAGGCCAGCAATAATACCAGCATATATTTTGTCATCTAGTATAAAGACAGAAACCCAAATGCAAACTATCTTCAAAGAGCCCTAAGACATGTTCTATGGAGTGGGGTAAAGGTCACCTCAATAAGTGTGGGTCAGGTGCTGAACAGCCAATCAAGAGTGAGTGGGAAAAAATCATGTCAAGACCAAGAAGGACAAGACAGCTCTGATGGTGAACATGAAGAAAATAAAAGACCCCAACCTTCACCTCATCAAAGATGAGGCAGAGCATGACTCAGAAAGTCTGGCAGGCAGACAGCAGGTGACTAATAAATGTTAGCTGCTTGTATTACTAACAGTCGTAGAGCAGAACTAGCAATGTTAGGAAGTTAGTTTGTTCCTTAAAGCCAGTTTCCAGTAGTGGTAACACGGCTCTTAATGATAAGCAGACTCTGTCCTCAAGTTCTGTTACTGATGCCATCTTCAGGAGGTGTTGTGCCCTACTCTGTCAAAAGGTAGCCTAAGCAGAGGCACCAGCTTGAGCAGAGGACAGAGGGTACAGGGCTGGGAGAGGCTGCCCATGTTCTGTGGCCTGAAATCCATGTGCAGAAGGCATAAGGACCATCTCCAGCCCTGCAGAAACTTTCTTCTACCACTGCCCCACTTCACCTAGTTTCCTGAAACCAGCAGAAGTACCCAGGTAAGTAAGCACCAGGACAAAGTCACCAGCACGCCTGTCACCTCCCACAAGCTGCCCCACCTTCCTTCCATCTCTACACATATCCAGCCCACATAGCCCAAAGCCTGGCTTTAAAAGGAGCAAAATTAAGAAGAAAATGAGGAGGGAACAAAGCTCAATGGCTCCACTTTCCACCTTCCGCTCCCACACACTTAGGCCGCTCTACTCCCTGCTGGTCTTTCCTTCCCTCTTTCCTAGGATTGCTAGAATGATTTGTTCTGAACAGCGACAGGTTTATAGGTTAGCCGACACCTCCGCTTGGTGGAATTTTAATTAACTTCTCCCATCGTCAATATGCTAAGGAACGGGGTTTCCATTCTCTGAGGTCAGCAATGTGTTTCAGGTCCTGCTATATCAGCCGTCAAATTGAAGAATTAATGACGTGGCTAATCGGCTCTAATTCTTCAGGAAGAAAAAAATTTGAAAGGGAGTTGTGGAAGGGAGCGGGAGGGGTACAGGCTCTGCAGGGTGAGGAGAAGGAGGCTGAAGAAGGCTGAGCAGAGGGGGACGGATCCGTCTCTCATAAACAAGCGATGGACTTAAACCCAGTATGTAAGGAGAGTGGCAGCCCTGCAGCTTTTCCACTGATCACTTGTGTGGGCAGTGAGAAGTGACAGAAGGGGGACAGGACTATAAATGAACACTGTGACAGAGCAGCTGCCGGAGAGGCCGTCTACCTATGTGCTCTGTTGGAGAGCAGTGCCACCTGGCTCAAGAGTGTCTAGAAGGCACACATTAATTAGGATTCAAAACTCACTCACTTATGGGGAAGCTACACAAATACTAGTCAGGCCAAAGAAAGAGGTAAAGCCACCATCAAAAAGTTAGCCATTCTGCTACACCCACCAATAAATCTACTCCACGTATGTCTCTTTGTATGAAGGTTCAATTGGACATAGGCCCCGGCCTGCTTATGACGACGTAGCCCATCAGGGTTACTCAGAGGACAGTTTCCAAGGGGAACACACTCCGAAGGAGACAGAGCTCAGTTGTTAGAGCAGGTTGGTGTTGGCTGGCACTGGCACCTTCCAGGTGCTGAGATGTCTCTGCTTTGGAAGCAACTCCAAAGGGCATCTGTTCCAGATGGGTCACTCTAGTAAAAGTTGGATTCGGCTACAACCTAACACAGTGTTTCTTCTCCTTCACATTTCTGGTATTAGATGTTCCAGGAAGGATATTTCAACCTCATCCATATATGAAGTGAGCTACAGACCACCAGTCCCTGGAGGATTTTTAAAATCTCCAGGAGAGCAGCTCAAAGCAACCTAGAATACACATGCAGAAGATTTTTTGGCATGCCTGACCTGGTAAAATAAAAGCATTATTATATAGTACAAAACGATATCCAAAAATATCTCCCTTACCTTAGCAATGGGCTGATAGCAATGGACCAGACTCGGTCTTCAGTCTGAATGGTGTGTAAGCACTGCCCCAGCCGGCCTGAGGCCAAAGGCCATACCTAGAAACATGAGAGAAGATGCTCTGTTGGCACTGCCTGGCATCAGGATGAGGTGAGAAAAGATGCTCCAGGCAGGGTGGCTGTCCCTAGAGGAGCTGAGGCTGGGAAACTGGAGAAGCCTTTCTGTGCTGTACACACAGAACTCTGGGTAAAGCCAAGGGCCTCTCCAGCTTCTGATTCACTTACTAAATCCTGGTTCACAGTTCTAGCCACCTACTTTGACGACTATCTGAGAGCATTTACTTAGCAGCCAATTTCACACCCGGGAAACAACTTCCACATCCTTTACTGAGACTTGACTCAGAAGAGTGAGTAGATGGAGCTCACCGCTCTTGGCAACCTCCCATGACTGCAGATTTTCCTACCTCAAACCGAGATTTTACTTTGGGGAGGCAGAGAGAAGGAAGAAGATCAAGGCATAGCACGGGGGAGGCAGAGATAGAATTAGAGATTTACATGAAGAGTGAAAAGAAAGGGAAGGAAAGATGGAAGAAGAGAGACTTGTATGTGGTGTATTGTTGTTTGTTTGTCGATAATGCCCAGGATCCAAAGTTATTCATGTCAGCAGGGAATTTAGCACCTAGTATCACCAAAAGTAGCAGAAAAGCTTAACTCTTTTAAGCTTCCATATCTCCTACAGGTTAAAAATATTGCTTGGAGTGCATTATCTGGTCCCTATCACTCAGGAATGTACATTAGCAGCCACTCTGGGCTTAACTCTAATCAACACTCACAGAGTCCTCTCAGCAGCCCGTGCACTTAGAAATCTCCCATTAAGCGCAAGGCCCCCTCGCTTCACCCTACCTCAGATGACACACACAGGGAAATAAGCCTCTAGCCAAACAGAGAGGAAACCTCAAATGTACTGAGCTGCCCCAGCCGCAGCCAAGGAGGGATCCCAAAGCACCAGAGGACCAATGACCTCTGAAGGCCCCTGCAGTGCTATAAGGGGAACACACCATACCCAGCAGGCCCTTAGATGGAAGAACTTTAGCATTCCTAAGCGTTTAAAGGGTAGGTGATGGAGTGGGGTGATCCTGCCTTCTTAGGGTTACATAGTATCTCTTCTCTATAAAAGGAGAGAGTGTTTTAGATTTTGTGTATGGGTGGCGGAAGGAAGAGGGAGTGACTTACTTTTCCCAACATAGCAAAAAGAAAATAAGTGGAACAAGATCCTTAATGAAGGGGAGCAAAATAAACACCTTTGATTCTGGTGACTCTGGCCTCCTCCTCCGAGTTGACGGTCGGACTACTTTGGTAGTAACTAGATGCACCCTGATGTCCTCTTTTAGGCCACCTCAGCCAAGGGGAGAAGGTGTGTATTTTCCCTGATGCAAACTCCCAAGGAGACAAGTTCTTGCTTGTATGCTCTTTGGAAAGCAGCACTCCCGCCTACCTACGCAGCACACATCCCTCCAGACACTGATCACATCTTCAACCTCATGGTCAAATCCAAAATAGATCCACAAGAAAATAAACTCAATGGGGAATGTGTATTTATACAGTCCTTTTAAAAAGCAGATAGATAATATCTTTTAACACATTTGAAATGGCCAAAGTCTGTGACTTGATAATTTCATTACTGACATTCAATCCTATTAAAATAATCCTAAAACAAAGACAAACCTAACTGGTAGAAATGTTCCCTAAAACCTGTGATTACAAAAAAGAGCAAGCATGGGCTTTGGAATCAGACAAATCTGAGTCTGAACCCTAATTGTTATTAATAACTTTTCATTGTAGAGATTTCACATAATTTCTTAGCCTCATGTGTAAAATGGGAAATAATAACTATCTTTTGAGGTTGCACTGTGGAAGAGTAAAGCACTATAACATAGTATCTGGCAGGTTTTAGGCATTCAAAAATAGTGGTTATACTGTAGGAAAGATGAGATATAAACATAGACAGGAAGGAAAAATGGTAACTAAATGCCAAGTCAAGTGTGGAGTCATTAAAGATAACACAAATAATCTGTATAATAATGGAAAAACCATGTAAAATGAAGTAGATACAGCAAGGTATATTTGAAACACATTATGAGCACAATCATATAGGGGAACAATTACACTAAAGAATAAAATGAGAAAGTGAATAAATAGAAAGTGCTTAGCATAGTGCCTGGTTAAATTTTACATTGTTTTTTAAAATAGCAAACTTATGCATTGAAAAATAACTAAAAGAAGAACAAAATATCCAACAAGTTCAAGTGCTTTCTCCTTCACAAAGTATCCCAAGTCAGATGTGAGCTCCCCACTCTGAATTTTCTTTCCCTAAAACCTAACACTTCATAGTCCTGGCCACTTCCAATCAGTTTCATAACCAATGAACACAGATGTCAATTCCCCTTAAGGAGAAAGGTGGTATCTTCCTCACCTCTGAAGAGCCACAGTGCCTTGTGTGCTAAATTTCACATACAGTAACACTTTTACGAATGAATGAAAGAATATAGAAAAAAGAAGGAACGAGGAATGCTCAGTATCAGCAAAGGCCCACCAAGAGCATAGCTACCTTCCTATCATATCTCAGGATGAAAGACAGAGCCAAATTCGCTGAAGACTAAAGAAGTAATCCAAAGTGAATCACAGTAAATTTAAAACTAGGGTTTGGGGAACGGGAAGGCGAAGGAAGAGGGTTCTATGTGCAGTCACTAACTCTGAAGTATTGCAAAGAAAATGCTTTAGTTCTCTTCCCCTCAGTAAAACCAATTTCCTTCCCCAGACATAGTACTATTTGGGGAATTTGAGGGAAAACAAAACAAAACCAAACCAGGTAATCTATTGTGTATAGGTGTTCAAAGGCGGTATCAGAAGCCTGTGGGACTGCAGATGCAACAAAAAGAAATGGTCAGTGAGACAAGACTGTGGTAATACAGAAATGGGTCAGGAAGATCAAGATGGCTAACTGCAAAGACAACAGAAAGGAAGCCAACAGCAGCCTCCAGAAAGCCAGAAGAGATCAGCTGGCCTAGCAGTCCTTGGCGCTCCAAAACAGGCGACTCGCTCTCTGTAGTTGATGAACCAGGAGAAAGAATTGCCACCTAAGAAAAAAAACTCTCAAAAGTATAGGAAGTACTGCAGTGACAGTTTTGAGAATTAGAAAGTATTTTAATGCTTAGGAAAGATCCAAGCATGCCACAGGACTGGGTAGGTACTTAAAACAGGAAATTAACCCAATATCCCAAATCAAATTGTCGTCACTCTTCCACCATGAGCCAGCCATTCCTTTGAGTTGCTGCATGTGACCATAAAGCTTACTTTTAGAGTGTTCTGGGTCTTAGACCCAGAGGATAGGGAAGAAGAAAGAAATGTTATGGAAGAATCAAGGGAAGCCTGAAATCATGACAAGAAGATGCCAGAATGAGATGGTCACACATGCCACATGTATCTACACAAATGGTCTCCTAAAGCAGTACAGTAAGTTAAAGTCGGTCTTTTTGCCAGGGATGGTAGTAAAACAGTGGTCAATTAGAAACATGCCACAGGTATTCAGAGGGAGAATACAAGATAGAAATTTCAATTCCCACGTTGGTTCAAAAATTATTTTTCTCAGATCCCAAGCACTGGTGCACAAGTCTCTTATAGATCATAAAGAGTAAAAAGAAAGGAAGAAAGCAGCAAAGTGAGGAGAAAAATACAAAGGGATATATTTAGCTCTTCTTTTCATAGAAACTATCAATATTTTCGCATGAAGAAGTAATCACTAGAGGATACAGGTTGTCAGAAAAGCTGGTGGTAAAGATTGCAACTTCCCGCTCCTGATCCCTCCCTGTGTGTCTCACAGGCCTGTCAGCTGACACAAACAGGCATATTGCTCCTGTTAGCACTACGAAGTCTCCAGGTGCTGGGAAACAGACAAGCAAGATACCACTGAGCCTCCTGCACCATCAAATGAATTATCAGTGATTTCCCACAGTGGCCCCAGAAGACCAGGCGTAGGTAGGCCCTTGCGAGGGCTGCTGGACACAGGGATGCAGACAGAAGTTCTTCTGTTTTATGGGAGGAGCTTGTTCAACTCAGATGTAGATGAGCTAGGTCTCTGAAGTAGGAGTCACGCCGCTTATCGGCCCATTCCGCGTGCCTGGTCAGCTGCCTGACTGCAGACCAAGCGACTTGGCAAGGACGCAACCAACAGGACTTCTCTCACCGTCTTTCTACTGCCACTGACCACATCGCTCTCCAGAGGAACAGTAAAAACACATTTTAATTGTCAGCCTGACTGCTTATAAACAAGGTGGTGAAAAATTAACCTCCCTGAACAGAGAGCAAGCAAAATGGAGATTTTAAAATAAAATATTGGGGTCAGAACTTAACCCACAAATTGAGAAAACTCAGCTCAGGGAGGAAAAAGCTGGCCAGGCCCTCTGTTTTTGAGTTCACACCACATTTCAAGTGAATGGCAAGTTTCCTAGCCACTGTCCACTCCCTTCCCAATCCAGCTGGCAAGGACACAGTCTGGCATGGCAAGCTGCATGCCAGAGGCACATAAGTGAGTTCTTTATTGTGCTGTTGCCCCCTGGCCCACCCAATACCCTCAGCCAATCCTAGACTCAAGACCCTAACTACCCTCTCTCCCAATCCACTCCCCACAGGCAGCAGGAACAACAGTAGGTAGTGGGGGACCGCCTCACCTTGGCTGTCCTGTCCCTGGAGCCGCTCACAATGATGCCCCCTTTGCAGTCCACACAGTTGACCTCCTGTTCATGAGCCAAGTACTTGACAGTGAAGGTGTTATGCACTTTATGAATGCCAATCTTCCCATCTCTAGGAGAGAAACAAGGAGCCCACCCCAAAGGCCAATTATTCTTTCTGGAGAGAACAAGTCTACATAAACAACCCAAGTTTCCAATGATGTCCAATTTGCTAAGCTTTAAGTAATTCAGCCCAATAAGGTGCTGAACTTCTTGATTCTTTACTTCTTCAGATCACCTGGGCAGAACAGACATGAGATAAAACAAATTCCCCCTCTGAGAGTATCAAAACCAGCTTCAATTTCCATTAAAGACTGTTCCTGTTTTCCTTCTCTAACTATCCCTATTAAGCACCTTCGGTAAACCCCTCTACTTTAAATGTAAAGAACCACTACCCCTTCTTCTACTGTCTCTCCTCATTCCTTTGAAATTGAGACAGAGAAGCCAGAGGCAAGTAAAAGGTGCCTGAAGAACACTAAAGGAGAGGGTGGTGAAGAAGCCTGCAGCACTTACCCTCCTGCACTGACAATATGTGAGTTGGCCAGCACGAAGTGGCAAACATCCTCATCATGTCCAGCAAACACTCCCATGGGCCGACGGTTCAAGCTGGCACCATCTGGGCGGAACTGATAGGCCAGAATGAAATTAGCCTGGGATATGTAAAGAGAATCACCCTCCAGCTGCATCCAGGGCATCTGGCTACAGAGATGGAAAAAATAAAATTAAGGATCAACAAGATATAGCATAAAAACTCAACTCTACTCTTGGAGTGGTTGGCTGATCCTCACCTTAGCAAGGATAACCTGCAAGGCTAAGTGTATACCTGGCTCCCCTCCTTCAAAATTACGCATCTCTAGGCGTCTTTCAGAAAACTAGCAAGATTGACCTAATTTTCTTTAGATGTTCTAAGAGACTCAGAATTAAAAGACCAATTTAACAAAACTTTTAAATTTTTATTGAGTAACGTCGTTTGCATTGCTGTTTCTTCATTTCTGAGGTAGAGGATCCTCCCCTTGAAGTGCTATGACCATAGCGTACCACCACCAAAGCACCTGTGGTCCAACACCAGAGTTCTCTGAGCTCCCTCATTTTGTTCTCACGTCTCCCCCACAACCTCTGGATGTCTCAGTTCTATAGTCAACTTTCAAGTTTAGTTTTGAAATTTGGCTTGATCTGACCCTTTGTGGTTTGTCTGTATTTTGCATAGAAGTCACATCATATGGTCTTTATCTTTCTCTGTATAATGTATTTATTTCACTTAGGATAATCCCTTCCCCCTTCATTCATGTTGCCACAAATGGCATGAGTTTATCTGTTTTGACCACTGAGTAGTATCCTACTGTGTTTATATAACACCTTCTAGATCCAGTCATGTTTTTGGGAACCAAGGTTGTTTCCATAGTTTGGCCATTGCTAATACATGCTGCGATGAACATGGTGTGCAAGGTGCCTTTCAAAACGGTGTTTATGGATTCTATGGACATATACTTAGGGGTGGAATTGCTGGGTCATATGGAGATCCATTAATCCATTTAATCTTTTGAGGAACTTCCGTACTGTTTTCCATAGGGGCTACCCATCTAGACTCCCACCAGCAATGTAAGAAGGTCCCTTTTCCTCCACATCCTCACCAGCATTTGTTATTTCTGGTCTATTTGATATGGGGCATTCTCACAGAAGTGAGAGTATCTCCAACTGCCAAGTCTGACTGAGCAAACTGGGCTGTTTCTCCCCCAAACTCCTTAATACAAGCATCATGGGAATGTGGAAAAGTCCTACAAATTGACTTGATGGGCCATTAAATGCAGCTTGGACATTGTAGTCACCAAATTTCTCCTCATGAGACTCTTATAAGTGTGTGTATATATTACATGTGGAGCTTGTGTACAGTGTGTATGGGTGCCTGCATTCTCATTCTTCACGTTCCTCTTCAACATCCCCTTGCATGAGTTTGTGGCACTCTCAAGTAAGGCAACAAGAGGAGGCTGGATTGAAGCTCATGTGTTAGAGCTAGTAAACAGCCTAGTAACAGTCTAGGACTAGAAACCAGGTTCATGACAGGTGAACAACAGAGAATCCTGGCACAGCCTGGTAACATTTGTGTGTTTATTTGCCAAACTGCTTGAAATCAGCCCAAAAAGACATCAGGAACAAAAACCTGATGGAGAAACTCTTCTTCCTGGTATTAAAAGGCAAAAGTGGGGTGCAGAGAGTAAAGTCCTTTATTAGAAAAAGCCACCTGTCCCCCATAGTTCCTTTACTATTGCTATCACCACTATCAATACATGACCAACACAAATAATGTGGGCCTTCCCTGGTGGTGCAAGGGGTTAACATGCAGCAATATGAAGCTATCCACAGCCACTGAAGCATGAGTTCAACCCCAGCAGACCTCTCCGGTCTCACACACTGCTCCCCTCAGCAGTGTATTTCAGTCAGTCTGCCTATTCTGCTTCCCACTCTGTCTCTAGTAAATCTTCACTCCCTGCACGTCTGACCTGTACCCCAGTTTTTGAATGCATACATGAATAAATCTTAAAAAAAAAAGTAAGTAGGGCTCTCCCTGGTTGCGCAATGGGTTAAGGCACCACATTATGAAGCTCTCCGAAGCCACTGCAGCATGAGTTCAATCCCCCCACCAGGGAGCTGACACACATGGCACAACAGACCTCTCCTGACCCACCCACTGCTCCCCTCAGCAGTATATTTCAGTACATCTGCCTGTTCTGCTCCCCACTCTGTCTCAGGTGAATCTTCTCACCCACACCGCTGGCCTATACCCCAGTTCTGTAAGCATAAATAAATCTTTAAAATAAATAAATAAATAATGTGAGTGAAACCAGTGACACTGGACACAAGCAGAAAGGGTCATCAAATGAAGAAGGCTGCCTAAATCTATCAGCACAAGTACAGCCCAAAATAAAAAGAGGAATTATGATGATCCCAACTCATTCCAACCAATCAGTTCAAATGAGTACTTTTTTGGTGGGAAAAAATTATAACTATGAATTAATTTACCATCAATGAAGCATAAAATCTGTGACATTAACAACATCAAAGCCACTGTCTAAATATTCTGGCACTTGTTTGAAGGTCTAACTCCTGTAGCATAGCTGTCTGAACTCTTAGACCCCTACTTTGCCTTTCAATAAAGAAGGGGAAAGGACTATAGGAAGTCAAGAGTGAAGGTTGAACTCTCTAGAGTAGAAGAGTAAAAGGAAAAATACCAAGATGGGTTGAAATATTAGCGCATTTATCTTTTGAGGTACATCAACAGTGGTTACTGCTCAGTAATAGGGTTAGAGGTTTGATTTTCTTTAAACTTTTCTATTACTTTCAGTTTTCTACAATAAACATTTATTATTTTATAATTATAAAAGTATGGGATTTGTTAAAGTTCATAAAGATTTTGGTAATCATTTTGTTATTGAAGTAAACCTTTTACAGAACAGGAAAAAAAGTTACTCATCTGGGCCCTTACCAGTGGCGCAGCGGGTTGGAGCGCAGCACTGCGAAGCTGGCAGTGGCCACTTCAATGCAAATTTGAGCCCCAGCCCCGGAGGTGACCCACATGGCTCAGCAGACCTCTCCTGACCTGCCCACTACTCCCCTCAGCAGCATACTTGTTAATCTGCCTGTTCTGCTCCCCACTCTATCACTGATGAATCCTCTTACTGCCCCTGTACCTCTGGTCTATAGCCCAATTCTATATGCATAAATAAATAAATCTTAAAAAATAAAAGTTACTCATCTGATACCCCTTCTGTGGTATTTAAAGGATCACCAGATAGAGCCACACTGCACAAGACAGGCACTTTTACACTCTAGCCAGGACCAGACTTCTCATTTCCCAGCATGTTTTCCTGTTCCAGGTAGCTGTGAAAAAGTCAAGAGGCTACTTACCTGCATCTCCACTTCAGCAGAATCCCCTCTCGACAACGCCCCAACCGCCAGTTCTGAGACACTTTCACCCGTTCCTTTACTGGGACATTGGTCATCCTGTGTAAAAACAGAACAGATAATTCAGCTACTAAAACTCACTGCCAAACAGAGAAAGTCCCAGGGCTTATTTTGCCAGGTCTCAGGAACACACAGACTACGTCTGGATAAATGAAATGTTCAGGAGATAAGAACTCTTGATCTCTCCATACTAGGATAACCAAGAAAGCTAAGGAGAGAAGTTTGTCCTGTAAAGTGCCTATATGTAATGTTAAAGCAACATAATGGAGAAAGAATCATTAAGAGTGCTAGAACCAGAGGCTCTCCAAAAGGGGGGAGGGGGACCCTGACCCCTACCTTACACCATAAAAATGAATTCAAAATAAATCAGACTTAAACATAAAATCTAGAACTATAAAGTTATTAGAAAAACATATATAAAAATTTGTGCTCATCAAAATGAATATATAAACCACAATAAAATATTCACAAAATGCATATTTGACAAAAGACTTACACCAGAAAGCATGAAGAAATCTGTATGTGTGTATATGGATGGATAGATGAATTATTATTCTATTTTGAAGGCTAACAAGGAACATTCCTATAATATTGATGGGAAAGCAAAATGGTACAGTCATTTTGGGAAGAAGTATGGGCAATTTATAAGTCTATAACCTTGTAATTATCCAAGAGAAATGAAAGCATATTGTGTACAAAAAGGCTTTTATAATGATCATAGGAATTTTTACCATAATAAGGCAAAATTTGTAAACAGCCCAGGCATCTAACAATAGGGAATGGCAAACAGGCCACTGTGTTCATGCCACGGACTACTACTCATCAATAAAGACCAAAGAAGTATTGCTGGACATAGAAATATGGATAAATCTCAAAAACATTATGCTAAATTAAATAAATTTTACAGAGAAGACTTCAGGTTATATGGTCTCATTTGTGTGAAGTTTGGGAAGGAAAATTAATTAATAATGAATAAACCAGAAGAGCTAATCTATGATGAATAAACCTGACTATCAACAGGATGGGAATGGGGACTGACTGAAAAGGAACAGACAAAAACCCTGAGGTAATGTTCTATGTCTAAATTGTAAAGGGATTTGGGTTACAGTGAAGTGTACCTATCAAAAATGTATCAAATAATTACTTGAGAGAGTTTCATATATGTAAGTCTTTTAAAATATATATATAATCTAACCTGCATGCTAAATGATATGCATGCCTAAATGTTTGTAGAGGTGAAATGTACTTATCTATGTAACTTATTTTGAAAAGTCCAATAGAGCAAATACAGCAAAATGTTAATTGTAGACTCTAGATGATAGGTATCTGCACAATTTATTCAACTTTCACATATATTAAAATTTCTCATTAAAAAAATCTGGAGATGGAGTGTCAGCAGTATTTCCAGGTGAGTAAGGTAAGATCAGTAAGAGATAGAGAGCACACATTAGTAACAGAAATGGCACAGCTGGAGGTAGAGGGGAATGCTAAGTGGCAGAGGATAAGAAGAACTCAAAGCCTCTCTGAAAGTGCATCTTTGGACACAATTCTGAAATTGTTGGCAAGAATTTAGAAACTGCACTTCAGGCCCCTAAACCTCTCATGTTTCCCTGGCTTATCCCACTGGACAACAGAAGGTACACTGCTTGGTACACAGTATTAACTCCCAAGTCTACAGCAAAATGCACTGGCAGAGAAGAGAGACACACATTTCTTCCAGTCTCCACCATGCTTTCACATTCCCCTCTCTGTGCCACCCCAAATGGAACAAACAAGTCCTGCCATCAAGATTCTAATGTATACAGGTTGGAAAGATGATTTTATTTTAATTTTTAAAGACTTCTTTATTTAAATATTTATGCATACAAGAACTGGGGTACAGGCCAGAGGTGCAGGGAGTGCGAGCATTCACCAGAGACAGTGGGAAGCAGAACAGGCAGATGTACTAAAATGCACTGCTGAGGGGAGCGGCAGGCAAGACAGGAGAGGTCTATCACGCCATGTGGGTCAGCTCCCTGGCCAGGGATTGAACTTGTGCCACAGTAGCTGCAGAGAGCTTCACAATGCTGCACTTTAACCTGTGGTGCTACCAGTAAGGGCCTGAAAGATGATTTTAGAATGGGAATTTTTTTAAATTATGGTATTGAAAATTGCTCAAGGATTTAAGACCTACTAGTATTTCTTCTGTGAAATGCTCGTCCACTTTTCCATCTTTCCTATTAGGTTCATGTCCTTTTTCTTGTGAGTTTGTAAAGACTATATATTCAGTTGTTAATTTGCCATTTTCTTTTTGCTCAATTTATTGTATGCTATTCCTGAAGATTTCATTATGTTTTATATATCAATAATTTCATATTGATCTTTTGTTTTTGAAGCACTTTAAAGAAAGTGAATTTTCAAGATAGGTTTCACTGCTACAATTTCCTGTGCCCAAGACAGGCAAAGAATATATTTTTATTTCAAATCTTACATCTTAAAATCTTTTCACCAAGGTAAGCAGAGCTTAGTTAACCTAGTTGAATACTAAAAAATGACTTAGAATTGATCTATCTGGATCATGAGTCAAATATAATTTATTTGACAAACATGAATATAGTACTCATAATGTGTCAGGTGCTATTTCACTTACGTAATGCCTTATGCATAATAAGTATCAAAAAGTGTATATTGACAGGGAAATAATATTCTTATGTGACTAGTTCTAGCCAATTAAAAGACATTAATAAACAAAATGTCTGCTACTCTGATCTTATAAAAAGAGAGCCAGAAACGGGGTGGGGGGAGGGAAATGCACGGGATTATGGTGATGGCACATAGGTGACTTGGTGATGGGAAACCCGCGGGGATTACAATTGAGATGGAAAAAAAATGTACAAAATGATGTAAAAATAAACTCTTATAATAAAAAAAAAAGAATATTCTCAGAAAAAAAAAAGAGAGCCAGAAATGCCCCAAACTGAAATGAACTTAATATCCAGCAAAGCAGCAGAATCAAAACAGGGGAGGAAGGAGCACAAGGAACTATGATGATGGCTCACAGGTGAACTGGTGGTGGGAATTTTACAGGGAATATACCTGAGAGTAGAAAGCACACAAGCATACATTATACAAAAATGAACAATGATTTAAAAATGTAATTTTTTTAAAAAAGAAAAAGAATGACTGTTTAAACTAGTACTGATGAGTTTATATATAGCAAGTTCCTAACCTTATTAGAAGGAAGAGAAAGATGAATACACATCACTAGAAAAAAATGAGAGGATATACTCTAAAATAGCAACAGTTAACTACAATTAGCCAGCTTTAACTGTTTTTACTTTCTTTGTGTTTTTATGCATTTTCCAATTTTCTACAATGTAATGTTTTGGTGAAGAGAAAAAATACTAAATATTAGTAAGAAATGCTATTGATAAAATGGCATCAATGGAGACAGACACTGAAACTACCATCTCAAACCACAGTATAAATTTTTTAAATGCAAGTAAATTCAAAACAGCTTTTAAGAAAGATTTTAAGGCCCTCCCTGGTGGCACAGCGGGTTAAAGCACAGCACTAAGAAGTTTAAGCCACTTCCGCATGAGTTCGATTCCCGCCTGCCCCAGAGGTGACCCACGTGGCGAGGCAGACCTCTCCTAACCCGCCCGCTGCTCCCCTCAGCAGTGTACTTTGTTGATCTGCCTGTTCTGCTCCCTGCTCTGTCTCTGGTGAATCCTCTCACCCTTCGCATCTCTGGCCTGTACCCCAGTTCTATATGAATAAATAAATAAATCTTTAAAAAAAAAAAAAGAAAGATTTTAAGAGGATTCAAAAGACATCAAAGTTTTAAATTTTAAATACTACATAAAGAAAACAGGTAAAATGAAAACAAGAGAGTAGGAGAAAATTAACAATTCTACAGTTAACAAATTTTCTCTCTAAAACTTTTAGGGAACCAATAAAAATCTAGCAGGATGACACCTTGTCTCCAACACCTTGTCTCCAACACCCTGTCATTCATACCTAACAGCATGTAAGAACAATCACAAAATATTCACACCGTGAACACAGGGGAGACATCTTACAACTGCAACAGTCCAGTTCACAGCCATGCACATTAAGGCAAACTAAAGTGCTGCCTCCTAGCTACCAAGTGAAAAAAACAGATTTGGTTTTTGCTGGTAATGCACTGACTGGCACAGCCTTTCAGAAAGCAATTCTATTGGTTAAAAGTTATTAAATGACAGCTACTGATTCAGCATTCCTAATTTTGTCACTAATATCACAAAGAAATAATTCAAAAGAAAAACATTGTTTACAAAGGTATTTATAGTTGTGCTGTATATTGAGAACTAAAATCCTGAAACTGCCCAAATGTCTCCCTATGGGGGGAAATGGTCTACTAATGAAGTGGAATATACTGTCACTGGAAATGACAGGGATAAGGACTGCAAAACATTTTAGAAATGACTACAGTAAATAACGGTAATTTAAAGCTAAGTCACATTTATAAAGGTAGAGGCGAGGAGACATCACATAAAGTTGTATCTCCATAAACAACAGGAAAGAAGTAGTAAACAGATGGTACTATGGAAGCAAGCAGTTTTTAAAAATATACTACACAAACTATTGATGGCTAAGTCTTTCAATTTATCTTTAACTGCTTAAACTAAATGAAATTGTGGGAAAAGTCCAATATGCAGATTTAGGAAAATGAATCCCAGTTCTGTCTCTTACTAATTATACCTTGGTTACCTAACTTTCCTAATTGTCTATTTCCTCACCTATAAAATGAGGACATTTTAAAAATAAAATGAGGACAGTATTTTACACAACTGTGGTCTTTAAAATACATAAAAGTGTGCTCTAAGTTACAAATCACTATCAAAGAGGTTTCTTTACATACATATATGTAAGAGCTAATTTCTATTAATAATGTCATCACTAAAATAATTTCTTTTTCTTCTAATTTTATAACTTAGGACTAATGTAAAACATTAGTCCTTTTTCAGGTTATATGATTAAAAATTGAGAATACACATGTTAAAAGCTAAAGTACATGA